ATCATAAAAGTCCTCCCTCCTCTTTTGATTCGATTTCACAGTTAACAACGCGTCAAAGTGCTCGATTAGGCAATGATAGCCGCGTGTTTATTCCTCGTTTTAATGTCAAAGTCTGCATCTAGCTCTTTTCTTCCGCGAACATCAAAAGATTGGAATGAACTACCTTCTGTTTTAGCCTGTCAAACTTCTTTAGCCACATTTAAAAATATGCTGAGAGATTACACAGGCTTTTAATAATGTTATTTTTATATTTTTAAATTTTTAGTTTTAGGTTATCACAGTATATCCATGGATGCCCCAAGTTTTTTGTTCTTTTTTGTGATACAGTATCCTGCCCTTGAGTAAAATAAAATCTTATCTTATCTAATGTGACAGCAATGACAAATATTGACTCCTTCCGAACTGATAAAAAAAGTAGACATTGTGCAAATGATTTCGTTCTGTCTTGCTCGACAAATCAAAAAAAAAGTCTGATTCATCCCAACTTTCGTTGTACTAAAAAACTAATAATCTCAAACCAACTTGGAGACATGAATAATGAGAGAATGACTGCCATGCTTTTTAAATTCTCTCAATCAATTATTTGTTTCGGCACTTTGGATTTTCCTTCCAAGTATGGAAAAATTATATTTAAACTTTCATCAGCTGTATTTAACATACTTTGAAATTTTCTCTTTACTCACTTTTGGCTGTTTCTTCATTGAGATGAGCTAACTCTTTTGGATAATGACCTAATGGATCCCAATTGCTTTGTATAGTGTATTTTCCATCATCTGATTTTTCCATCATTTCCTAAGCATAAGAACAGTTATGGGCACACATATGGCAAACAACAAATTTTTTACCATATCCAATAATTGCAGCTTGTTCTTGCGAGTATTTCGACCCTGAGCAAGAAACATCCCAAAACATCTAAAAGAAGACTCGTTTTTAAATCAAACAAAGAATTGTAAAACGCTTGTTTTTCTCACTGTTTAATATTCAATGGAACACCACGTATTTGATGTAAAGTCACTGATATTTTTTTGCTCATATCCTTTCGTAATTTAAACACAGCTTTATCGGATCTAAGTGAGACAAAGAAGAGGAATTAAATAAAGAACTATCTTATACTTAACATACCGTACCGTTGAACAAATTCAAAATTGCCTTTTCCATCATGTTCTTTGATATCTAAATGAGCTCTAAATTTAACTAACAAATTGGATGATTTCGAATGTGGTTGAACTTGTGTTTGTGATGGTCGTGCAGCTGTTTTTATAGCATTTGCAAAACTCAGTAATATATGATAAATCTAAATAGTATAATATCCCATGAAATAATTTTGATATTCTAACGCGTGTTAGCAACTGCTAAACAAAAGAAAGATGTAACGCGTGCACACTAGTTAAATGCTGTTCGATGCGTGCAAACGCGTTATTTTTCAGACTTATGGGGAACTGTAAATGAATTCTAAAGTGTCCGAACACGCTTTTATAAAAAAATATATGAAAACTTACGTTCAAACTCATTAATCACGAAAATTTTAAAACTCTAACACGTTAGGCTACGTTTTTATTTCTTTCCTTCTGTTTTTCCTTCAAGTCAGGTTTTTTCTCTGTTGATAGATCCATAGATCCACCTGGCTATGGTCTACTAGTTGCTGTTCATCGGCACTAGTATGGTATCTCTTACACTTATATACAGTAAAAATGAAAGCTTAGAAAAATTTCTAAATGAATGTATGTAGATGTGTCGTATATATCTCGTAGAAATAGGCATAATAGGAATATAGGAATTGGTCATGTAAAACAAAACGGTAATTGGGAAATCATGGTTTGAACGCATTTGACTACTTTTAAGGTTTGGGGGTGAGTTTTAACATGTAGATTTCTGAATAAAAATGTGTTTTTAAGATTAAAAATAAAGAATAAATATATTCTTTATTTTTAGACGCGTTACACCGCATATCATCAATTTTTGCACACAATTAAAGCGTTTAAAGTTGTTAGATTTTAGTATGAGTGAAGTATTTTATAATTTTAATTATAACGGGTGTGAACGCATTAATATTTAGAGGGGTGAGAACGCACTCGTTCAAACCAGTTAAAATCAACTATTTCAGCTAAAAATCCTTTGTGTATTTAAACAAAATATGAATGCGCGTGAACTCGTTAAACTTAAATGTGTGGAAACTTGTTAAATTTCTTAGAACTATATTCAATCGATCTAACGCGCCATTACTCGAAACAAACCTTATCGAGCGTTATATTCAAAATTTTAACCCATTCAAACGCAATTTTCTGGAAAAAAAGTCTGGAACGCCTACTAAACTGCGTTAGAGCATCAAAATTATTTTATGGGATATCGGTGATTTGCATCGCCACTGTACCGTTCGTAAAAAACATTTTGAAAAAATAATGAAGTTGCGAAGAGAGAAAAATCTAAGTCATACATTTGATAGAGCTGTATCGATAGTCGATGATAAACATTTGGAAGGACTTTTGAGCTCAATTTATGAAAGATCTCGAGATCTTCGACATTTGTTAGACCATAATCAACGCATGTTCTTACAAAACTACGTTAACAGTTCAATGTTCCTTTCAAAGACAAATCGACTGGTGTGTAATAAGCTGAGATTCGTTCAAATCTTGATAGAGTTGCGATCATTTTAATGTCGGTAGACAGTTTCCATATTTTCTATTTTTTCTCCGAATGATATAGTTTTAAGACTTGAAAATTCTATTGATGACTGCCCTCAGTGATGTCGGAATAAGGTAAAAATCTCAAGTCGACTAAAGCGTTACTATATTATGCGTCTCATACGGTGATATTTGAAAGCGTTGCTTTACTCAGTAAAGTAGCGCATCAGTAAATCAGTAATGAATACTAACATAATGCTGGTATTCATGCTTTCGATAGCAAGCAACAACCAATATCAAAGATCACATCACTGACAGACATCTACGAAATGAAGAGCCTTGTACGAAAATTTACAGCTTCAATTTTCAATAACGTTAGAACCTTTGAATAGTTATTCAAGTGGCACATTTTCACAAATAAAACCTTGGTGTTGCTCGTTATTAAATTTAAGAGAATTTCTCGTTTAAAAGTGATGATATAGGGTAAATGAATTTCTGACCATTTGTAACTTCAAGACAGTATATCAGAAATTTGCATAATACATATATATATATATATATATATATGTATACAATGAACGATTAGTTATCACCAGAGATTTCAGCACTATCAGCAAGAACAACTAGGGGTATCCAGCGACTGCAGAACACCTTACATTATAACCAGATGTTCACAGCAATACTATAGCAGCCACACAGTCGCATGGAACTGAAGGGGTAAGAATATTAACACACACAAAAACCGTACATAAAGGCAATTTTACTCGCTGTATTTATCGAAGTAAGCTTAACTGAAATCAGAAACTCAATCGTGCCAAACAATAGTTATATCACCAAAAAAAATATAAGTATTTATTAGCTTGACTTGTATCATAAGCGTTACTGCATTACTCGTTACTAGTAACGCAATAACGCATGTGTTACTGCGTTACCTGTAAAGCAACGGTAAAGCGCCACCCCTAGTCCGGGTGATGCTAAACAATATCAAATTGGCATCGATGGCCATACAATGCCGATTTTTCGCTTCAGAAACGATACCGCATTGCTAAAATTCAATGCAGCATGGGCATGCCGCATTGTTTTCTTTCAGTGCCACCCTATAAAAAAAGATTCGATGCGACATTGCAAAAAAAATATCGGTATCGGTGCTCATGCCATGCCATAATCATACGGCATTTCCTCGACACGTCTCTTATGAGAAGTGGGCCGAAAAGATATTTGAAATATATATAATAATATTACAAGTATACTATGGTGTTTATATACATGAACAATCACAAAATGGTGATTGAAAAAGAAACATGGCATCGATGTGTATCGGTGCGAAATGACATTTTTTTTATGATATCAGTGCGCACTGATGCCAGAAGAATCTAAAAATCTTGCATTCATGCGCATCGATGCTAAGAAGAAAATTTATTCGGCGTGAGCGCGCACTCGTGCATATCCGGTGCCAACAAAATTTGTTTTTTTGTGATGTATAGCCAAAAGGAAACTGGTAAACTGGTAGATTCCAGTTTCCTTTTGGTAAGACTTCGCGAAAATTTTTTATCAAAAAGTCCTGCAATTGACTGTCTATCTACGAAAAGCTTTTAATCAAAAAGTCATCCTTCCAATTGTCTATCTTTTGCTGGAAATGCGAAGCCTATAAGTTGTCAAAAAACGGTCATGGAGTAAGTTTGGAGTACCCTCGAGACTGCATACATTCCTCGTGTCGATTGTGGCACTACCAATAATCATTTTTTTATTTGTGCCTCAGAGGCATTCCATATTTATATTATTCGCAAACCGTTTTTTAACATCGTGTGCGCTTCGCTTTGTGCTGCCAGCGAAAGATAGACAATCGGAAGGATGACTTTTTGATTAAAACCTTTTCGTGGTTCTAATTTGGATAGGTTATGTGTATTTCTATCCTTTTTTTGGCATTAAGTCATTCGAGCCATATACTTCACAACTATTCATTATGTGGCATTCTTTTCTTTTCTTGTTATTCTTCTTCTTAAATGTTATTTTAAAGCATTTTTCTCTTTGCGGTGCTTCTAAAAAGCTTATTTACGAAAAAACGCAAAGAAAAGAATGTTCTCCGATAAACAGAAACATTTTAAAAAATTAGTTGACTACTTTTTGTCAGTGAGAAAATAAAAAGCGTGCTTTGCTCTGTAATGGTTCATCCTATTGTAGAAATACCGTATATGCAATATAATAGCGAAACGTTTGTAAACAAACGCAAATTGTTGTTATTTACGTTTGTTTGCAAGAAAAAAAGAAGCAGCATCCATACAACCATTTTATTTTCCATTTAAACGCAAACAACATGGATAGAGCATGTTTTCGCAAATGAAAAATCTTTCTGATTGTGTACGAACAAGCATAAACATTTTTCATAAGGACAACTTGTTTAGGTTTGAACAGTAGAAAAATGACCCAGTTGTTAACCAAATGTAATATTTGATGCCCTCGTGCTATTGAAATATTTACCTCGTTCTCATCAGTTGAATTTGTATGATTTGAATCCAATGTAGTACCAGTTTTTTCCGCTCGTCCACCACTATATGTGCTATTGGTAGTCATATTTTTAAAATATTCACTATCAGATTGATCAAACCATTTTTTGTTTGTTAGATATGTTCGTAAGCAAAGAAGAGAATGAGAAAGGTAGCACAATATCGATTTTTTTTTCTCTTCTTCTATACGCAGCAATGATAGAACGGAAAAAACAATCCACGATACAAATAAACTTACCGCATCTTGTAAAACATATCAAAATGTTCGATACTGATAGAGTAGGATCGTTGAATACTCGCTTGTAAGTGCACACAACATAGTTCTAGTGTATTTTCTTGATTATGTTCGTAAAATAATATTTGAGCTATAAAATAATCGGTTATTTCAATTTCTGATAGAGGATCAAATAATCTGAACATAGTAACAAAGAATCAGTCATAATTTATCCATGAAGACAAATAAATAGACAAAGATGAATTCGTTGCTGAAAGCATTATATCATTACCTGTAGACTCATATGTCTATTTAAACAAAGCCAAGTACACATGTAAAGTAAAAATAAAGAAGAATGTAACAGATTTTCTGGTTGAAAAATGGCAGAAAATCGATTTTTGGAGGCACAAAATGTGACTTGAGAAAACCTGACAGTCTATTTTTTCCCGGTTTTTGTCCACTTAGAATAAATGATTTGCGCTATTTTTACCACTTGTGTTTTAAATATTCAAAAGAAAATATTTTGTAACCATGATTTACGATTTGTTCATAAACGGGCGCAAACATTAGGAAACGGTCTTAATTTGGTGTTTATTGCTGGGACATAGCGAAAATACAGCTACAGCAATGATGGGTAAGCGTCTAATGTCACTAAGTGGAGGAAAAGATAAAATTCAGTTTAAGTATGACTAATACTGTGCCTTAGCACATTTGAAATTCCATTACAAAATGGAAAACTTATTTAAATAATAATTTATGAAATATTGCTCTAGCATATTCGACGAACTGAATTGTTGCCTTTATTAGTCATTGGTGCTGAAGAATCCATATGCGTTGAGTAAGATACATCTCAGGAAACTAGTCTTTGTAGACTCATTGTAAACTCCATGATGAACGAATTCGGATCCGTCCACGTTTTCGACCAGTCCCAGAAAATTCACTATATAAAAAGTGTAAATTTATGCTCCCGTAATAAAGCAAGTAGATTTTCTGTGGTTCGTTGAAAACGTGTTCGATAGTTCTTAAAAATATTTTATGGTTACCAGCTCTACAAACTGAACGGATCAGAAGTTCGTCATCATATAATTTAAAATGAGTCTTTAGAGATCAGTTTTTCAAAGATCCGCCTTAAAAAGCCTTATCCGAAATGGATAATATATTAGTAATCAACATAAAAAATAATCTATAATCAAATAAGTTCCATTTGGAAGAATCGATTTAGTGGCGACGCCAAGGTAGGGCTAGGGCGGGCTGAGCCCAACCACCCAAAAATTTGAAAACAGAGTACTCACTAGCAATAGTCAAGTAAAAATTCTGAACGGATTTTTGAAAAATTATGGGCTGAGCCCAGACACCCGAAAAATCCTGGCGCCGCCACTAAATCGATTTATCATTTGTAAAAATATTCTAGTTGTTATCGGTTCAAAACAATCCAAAAGGTATCATTGTCTTTGGTTTTAGTTCTTTACTAAAAAGCTTATACAGTAAAATTCCAATCATACCTTCATAACCGAATCTATTTCCATGATATTCTTCAAGACATACACATGAGTTCTTCAGTACTGATGACCAATAAAGACATCGGTAGTGAAGAACTTCTTTTCAGTTCATTTCGTCAAATACGCTAGAGGAATATTTCTGTACGAATTAAATATGCATCGGTTCGGTTAAACCGAAACCGAAATAAGCGACTATTGGTTATAACCGAAACGGAAATAACCGAACATTGGTTATAATCGAAGAAATTTTATAATGTGCTCAGTTTTAATTGGGCATGCATCGGTTTCGGTTACTAACTGAAATCGATGCATGCCTAGTATGAATATCCTTCTTTTGCTAAAATCTGCTAGGTTCGGTACATAAAAGTATTTTTGTGAATGCCTCCAGCTGTGCGTTAACGTCATTCTACATGGCTTTCAAGAACTACTTACCTCAATGTAGATTAAAATCAGACTACAAAGCATGTAAAACAGAACCCAAACGAATCAGAAAATCCTGATTCGGTTCGATTCGATTTAGACCAATTCAATGAAAATTAAAGCTTGCTTCTCTTCTGTTTCCAAACGTTTGTTTAAAATATACTGCCTCGAGTTGAAACACTTGAGCAGAATATATCATTTATGTGACTAGAAACATGAAGTAAAACAAAACAAACAAGGAGTAGAAATATAAACAATAAATGTCTTGTTCGCATGATTAGTCTTTGCATTTACTATTTTTGAAAAATTCCGTCTTTGAAAATGAATTTGATTAGGTATCTTAATAACTCCTCCAGAAATATAACTCGGTAAAAGATATTATATGTTCCTCTTTCTAACGCGATTATATGTTTCTGGACGTTGTAACAGAAAAAAAGAAACAACATTAATGGTGCTTTTGTTACTTTACGACGATGCCATTGTAGCTTAGTCTGACCAAAGCGTTTTAACTGAGTGGTTGATTCGTGTTCAAAAATCAAATTCGGTTCGGTTCTGTAATAATTGATATTTCTGCCTTTTTGTAATCGAGAAAAGAAGGCAAAACACGGAGCGCACCCAGAAAATCTTCGCGGCCACCTTTTAGATTCGACGAGTGCTACGATTAAGAGAAAAAATTTAGTTTTGCTACAGGAACCGAAGGACTAGTTTCAAAACTGGATCGTCAAATATGGGCTCTTGAACAAAAAGAAAGATAGATAATGAACTTTTTTTTTCCATTATTAAACAGTTCTTCGGCTTCATTTTCATTTATAATAAAAGAATTCTTTGTTCTGTTTTGTTCAGGAGAGATGAAATACTGCATGTCATTTTTTCATCTTAGAACAGTTCCCATGTTCAGTTGGGAGTAGCCCTTTAGCCCCAGATGCCCACAGGCCTGCATATTGATAAAAATTGTGCTATAACAAGACGTCACGCGTCGCATCAAAAAACTTTTTTTTCCACCGTAAGCTGACACCATAATTTAGCGGTTGCTAGCGAGAAAGTTTTTTTCGTCAAGGCTAAATCAAGATATACGAGTTTCAAATACGCTTTGCATAATCAGCTGCCGGGGGTAAAGGGGTAGTGGGGCAAGTATCAGTACTTGTACTACTCTTTTATGGAGCATGCCCAGCGTCGATATAAACTCCAGTCATAACATCAAAAGTCTTTATTATGGAAGAGGACAGAACTTAACATCACTAAGGAGGCATGTGAAATAAGATTTTTTTAATGGACAACTTGGGTTCTGTGTATATATATAATTTTCCATGTTCTGTACGGTACGAGTATTGAAATTTTTGCGGCTCTGATCTTATGTAATGCTGGGTGAAGTACTGTGGTGTCATACCATATTTACCGTTCTACAGTGTAGAGGGCGCTGTTGTTATGAATATCTTTTTAACTATAGTTTTAACGAAACAAATGAAAGCAGCAAATTAAAGTTCATTTTGTCCTTGTTCAAACCAAAATTTTCATCCAATAAATTGAATCCGAGAAATTTATTTCTATCGGTCATTTAACATCATATCAAGATTGAGAGAGTAGTTTGTTGTGTTCTCTATTGTCACAACGCCTGTTGCATAGCCTCTACATTTCCACTTTACTTTGCCTCCTAAGGCATTTAGTATAGACTTCTCTTATGAATTGAAATTTCTTTGTATAATATTAGACTAATTCATTCAAACGCAAAAAATTAAATTGACGTCAAGATGCATGAATACATGTGCGGCTTTGCTGGTTTCAAAAATCTAAACAATTGAAATTTGTAGTCCGCTTCGAAGTTAGTTTTTGTCTTATCTTTCAGATATTGAAAAAACAAAGTGGTCTGAATAAATGAGATAAATTAAATATTAAACTCAAGGAAAAAATTCCTTATACATAGTTTCTTGTTAATCTAAAATTATTTTTATATTTGTATCGTGAAGTTTCGAAGAAGAAATGCCTTCTAGCGAACTATATGTCGGAAATTTAGATCCTAATACAACTACACAAGAATTAAAAGAAATATTTGGAAGATACGGTGGAGTTGTACGATGTGATGTTAAATTCGGTGGGTCTGGTAAGGCGTGCTGCTAGTTTGCATGAGGAACAGATAAGCACACTTAACTGTTTCTAAGAGGTGAAACCAACTTAGACAATATCTAGCTGAGCAAGGTCGAAAGTGTGCTAGAAGACCTATCCTTTTATCTTCTGCTAATTCTGTTTCTCTTTTGTTTCTGACTTGTTTCTTCTTCTATTTACTGCTCGCCATTTTTTCTGATTTTTCTCTCAATTTCTCTCACTGAATTTTGTTGTTAATTTGTTTATTTATTTCTTGCTGTTTTAGCCTATTCAGCTGCGTTTGGATTTGTTGGTTTTGATTTCAGCGATGATGCCGAGGTAAAGTAACATTCCATCACAACCTTAAATAATATCATAGTAAAAGCCGATTCACAGTCCAGTATCATCCTCAGCCACAGAAAACGATACACATTTACTACGCCTAGATCCTATGACAGCAGGCCAAAAGTATCACCATTTATATTTACATTTCAAAGCCACTTACCATTTTTTCCGTTATTAATCACGTTCATGGCATCTTTTGATAATGATGTATTTTCCATTTAATTATAAAACGAGAAAAGCCTATTAACAACTGCTAATAACAGTAAAACAAAATTTTTGCCTTTGTGTCTTAATTTTATTATTTTTTTATTTTTATTTTTTTGTTAACCGTAAGTGAAAACGTGAGTTTCAAGTCGACTGTCAAAAAAGCCACAGAAGACCACGATAAGATGAACGTACCTACCAAAAAGGATTTCCTTCTATGCTGTCTCCTGCCTTTAACCACCACCTCCAGCTACCGTGCGGTTGTGCTGTTGCTGCATTTATATAAACCATAAAACGGTACAAAAAACATAATGCACTGATTTATTCTTTGCTTGTTGTCAAATGTTGTCAAAGATTGATGTGTTGTTTTTATTGGCATCAGTTTGTACTTTTTAGTTTTTAATTCACTTTAGAGAAAAGTTGGCTACGTAGTTGATCCAAGTAAATTTGTTAGAAATAGCAAGAAACGTAGAAACAGAGATCTCCTTGCAGTAGATGCCCTTAGTATTCGTAGTTTAGTAGCTACTGAATCAATCGTAAGAACAACACATCGGAGGCAATAACGAGCAAAACTAATTGTTTATTTCATATTTTTTCGTTGTATTGATACAATACTTTTCACTCTATACTGTCTTTTATCACTACTTTAGCGTGCTCAACGCAAAGAGCATGGACGAAGTCACCGTGGTCGACGTTTAATTGTTGAATTTGCTAAAACAACACCTGGTCAAGGACGACGAGGAAGATTTACAGGCAGCGATAATAGAGTAAGTGAACAAGTAATATTTCTTTATTCAATATACACTGTGATTTTCACTCTAGATTCGTGATCGCTCAAGGTCTCGAGAACGTGATGATGATAATTCAAGAGGAGGATACAAAAGAAGACGCTCACCATCGTATAGTCGACGTTCCAGGTGTGCATTTTTGTAGTTTTTTAAACTCGCTTAAATACTCTAATCTCTGGATAGGAACGTTTAGTACTCAAAGAATCATAAGAAGGCTCAATTAATGTCTTACTATTACTGAGATCATCTCTATCTTCCTCTCTGAGATCTATAGGTAAAAGATCACTTCGAAACTTAGTTGCAAACATTTGTTTTCAGTTTAGCATTCTTTCATTAAACTCTTTTGTTCTTTCTTTTTAGAGATCGTGATAACGACCGTGATCGAGATCATGATTCAGATAGAGATTCAGATCGCAATCAACGTACTAACAATACAAACTCATCCCGTTCAAATCGTGGTGGTACAAATCGTAAGTTATTTGTTTGACTTGAAGAAGTTGAGTAAAACGTTAATCAATGTTTTGGACATTTTAGGTTCACGTTCGAGAGACAGAAGTGATAAAGATCGTTCTCGATCAAGAGATAGACGAGGAAATAATCGATCATCACGTAGTTCATCACGTCGATAAATCGTCGGTTATACATAATATCAATAGCATTCGTTCAATAAATGTGTTTCATTTATGATCCTTTCCGGATAATTTTAATTTCGAAGATGATTTTTTGTTTTCTGTTATTATACATGTATGTCTAAATTTGCCTGTTCATTAAGTTTAAAATGTAAATTTGTGCTAAACCTCTGTTTCTTTGTTAATCTTTTCCTTTTTTCATTCTTCTGGTTTTCCTTTTTGTGTGTTCACGAAACACAAAATTGTCCAAAAAAGAAATATTATATGCGCTAACTTTGAAAAATAAAATAAGAGTGTTATACAGGAATAAGTTGTTAACCTATCGATGACTATATGAAGTGTTTCTACAAATATTAAATTCTAATTTTAAAATTTACAAAGTTTGTTCTATAGAAAAATTTTCAATCTTTAAAACTTCTTAAAACTAAATTTATTATTGAATGGTTCTCATCAATGGTAGTCATTTTAGTCTAGGAACCACCTCTGAATGTTTAAAGGCTTATTTATAAAAAAACTTAACAAATAGCATAAAAAAAGTCCCAGTGGCCTGTCTACCACTGATTCAGATATTTAAATTGTCCATTTCCTTTCACGAAAAATGATTCTGTTTTTTCAATTGAGTTCATACCCGTAAGTCGATATTTTAACTCAACATATGCTGCAGCTATCGGTTCTTCCAAAGTTCCAACGTTATTTATTGACGGTATATTAATTGAAGCATCAAGTTTAAAACCATAAGCAACATACACATGAGTAGGAATAATTGTTATTCGATCTAAAATAATACGAGAAAAGTAAATGAGAAGCTCATTGATCTCACACATTTACAAAAAACTACTCGATACTTTTTAGTATACACTAAACTAGACTATGTGTTTATTTTCTCACCTAAATATTGTCCTTTGTTTTCGAATGATCCGCCGTAAGTAAATTGAACAGTGTAAACTAGTTCCATAATTCTCATATTTAATTTGTTTTGAAATTTAATTTTGAAAGTTTTTGTAAATGGTTCATCAGCCCATTTTTGACAGTCAAATGCACTTTTTATTTCACTCGGCAACACATTAGCATAATCCACTTTGATATTCATAACGGCCCGATTTTGTTCGATCAACTGCCAAGTGTTTTGAGCTGAATTAATAATGCTCGATATATCTGGTAACGGGTTTGAGGATGACGAAGTTTTAACTATTCTAGGTTCGACATTTTGTGGTTGCTGTTTTTCATCAAAATCTGATTGAATTGTTAAATAAGCAAAATAAAAACCAAATCCTATACCGACAATGACAGGAGTTATGAATGAGATAAGTTTTAATTGAGCAAACATTATGGTCTCTGAAATAAGACAAGAAAAAAAAATGAAAGAACGATTTACCTTCTATTGAAAAGAATAATCAGAGTTTAGTATGGAATAATTGTTTGTGAATGAGCTAGTGCTGCCATCTTTTAGGGGGGGGACCTGTAGTGCTGTATATTAAACGTGTAACAAAGTTCTGCTAAACATAATTATGGCAGTACAATGGCCTATCAAAATTTATTGAGACATTTTCTTTCTTTCATCAAGACAAGAGGTAAAAGTAAATAAACAAACAAAAATATAACTAGATGTCCTAATCGACGCTTCCCAGCGAAGTTCTGATCTCTCCGAAAAACGAATACTCATGAGTATCGGGGAGTATCGGGCACGTTTCTAGAGAAGATATGTTTCTACATCGTGCCATAGTTTGAAGCTTATATAGAAAATTTTAGCCATACGTAGTTTCTACTAAATCTTTTTTATTTCTTTTTGTGGACACCACTTATAGTACAAATATAGTAGTATGAGATTGTTTACTGTGAAAGTCGGTTTTCTTTACTATATAGTTTATTAGCTATCAGGTAGACACTTTTTTGTGTTATCTAGTCCATTTTCTGTCATAAGCTGATTTACAAGTTATTGTAGTTATAGATGTTCACAAACATTTTGCCAGACGTTCTAAATGAGTATAAGGACGCCTGACAAAATGTACGTCAGTTAAATTATCTGTTTGGTAGAAACACACGTTTGTATATGAGAAGGAAAGAGAACGAAAATAGATAATGATAAAAGAGAAAATTGTATACTTCTAGCCGAAACGTCCACTGTCACCTTTTTGTCTCGGACTCATAGAGTGGTTTATGCGGATTTTTTCTAAATTTTTTCAAATCTACTAGCAGACAAATCATGAAAATATAGAAAAAATAGAATAGCTTGATACACTGACTTAGTAATAACATCGTTTGAATCAAACGAGTCTCTGATTTTCTTCAAAAATTCTCTCCAGTGCTGGGCTATGAGTGTTCACTACTTTAATAGTATGGCCACGTTACACCCTACCTTTTTTATGCGTACTGGCATTCGTTCTCTATTTTCTCTCGCTTCGTCAAGATATATCATATAGCTTCATGCCACATATCAAACTATTGTTTTCATTCGTTCTGAGTCATGTTTGACTCAATGGTGTTGTATTGGTATGTTTTTCATAAGAGCCCACCCTGATCGAAGAGTTCTATAATAGGATTTCTATAGAACATTGATAAGTGTTTGGTCCATATGAAAACCCTTATCATTTCTATAATAACTATTCTGTAGGATCTCATAGGGTCTTATAGGATCCTACCGTAAGAAATAGTATGATTTTATAGAAATCCGGTAGAACTTTCATAGAAAAGGGTATGAATCGTCAAGGTAGTCCCAGTCAGTCTTCTCACCGCCTTTCACATAGAGTATTCTTGTTATTTACTTCTCGTTGCTTACATTTGTAGCTTGTATATGTACTACGTTCTTTATTGATATTAGGCACTTTTTTTTTATTCACTTTTCGTGCATAAATACTATTACTACTACTACTACTTGATAATACGCATGTATGAGAATAATATGCATACATCTAGTCATACAAAGTAAACATAAGAAACAGTAAAAACTTTCATTTAATTCCACTACAATAAGGTTAAAACATTTTTTCTGCAAAATAACTATGTGGCTATAATTAGGGTGACTGAGTTTTTAATATTTTGAGCTTTGAACGTATAAAGTAAGGAAAGAACTTACTTTTCCTAGTTTTTTAAAGGTTATGTGTCAAAATATAAAATATACCGATAGATTTAATCAGAAACTACACCATTCAAGATTTATTGATGGAAGTAGACGAGCTTTCATAAGTCGCTTGGATGGACCAGAATTACTGGAACGTTTCCATATTCTCAGGTTCATTAATTTGTTTCAGTAATTCCGCCCCATCCTTTTGCTAAAGAGTCTATGTTTTTTTTGTTAAAAAATGTGCTGTTCATTCAATACGATAATGTCAAGTTAAGCAGGATTGCGAGGGTAGAGATATATCTCGCGCACTATATAATGCTTCTCGTCGTCTGTAGACTGACAGTATTTCAGATGGCAGTGTGACTCACTGAGCAAAAACACTCTTAATGCATAGGAATCAAGTACTTCCTGTAACATCCTACCGTAGATCTTTGTAAAATTCAATAGGAGTACAGGAAACTAATAGAATCTTATTACAAGGTATCCATGATAAAGTACGATAGGATTCTACGATTGAAATTTCCACATCAGATCACTGCAGGATTCACGTAGGAGCTCTAATACAGTTTTCTGATCTGAGTTCAACAATTTTTCGGTTATTCAATATTTTATAAACAAAATTTGATGATTGCTGCTAATTTAATTTTACTTCCTCACTTTCAACTTTGTTAAAATTAATCATCTCTAGATATATTCGGTATTTGTAAACTTATAATTCATTTTGAATTACCGCACTTCTGATACATTCTGTTTTATTTTCTTTAGATAAGAATGACTGCTGACTCAACGTACATGTCTGCATCTGTCAAATCATTTCCTTATAGTTTTTCGGATAAATCTCAATTGAAAGATGAAATTATTATCAAAGATGATGAATTAACATATGATGAAAAATGCCATAATCTTGGTGTTTATTGTTATAATCCAAAATATCATGAAGTTTGTGCTCGTGATGGCGAAGGTTGGGCTAAAATTAGCTTATTCTATTTTGTGTGGTTCATGTTACTAGCTGGAATATTTGCATCATTATTGGGAATATTTATGGCTATTATTGATAAACGTATACCAACATTTCGCGGAAACTCATCAGCATTAGCATTGGATACATATAATCTTAATCCAGGTAAAATAAATACGGTAGACTATGGAAGATGAAAAGAGACATATGGATAGATCAAAATCGATTGATTACTTCCTCCATATGTCTAACTTGTTTATCATTTCGCACTGGAACAACGTTTATTTATTTGTGTGCAAGTCATTATTGTTGTGCAATATTTCTTTCAAATTTGCGCGCAAATGTGACCGATCTGATGCTCTCATAATTAATAATCCGGTTTTCAAAAATCTGTAACGCTACAGATTAAAAGGTCAAGAAATCGAACTTCCTATATTACAAAAATCACAGAATCATGTTGGAATCTCCGATTAAATCAGATTAAAATAATAAGAATCATGCTCAATTTAGTCAATGCTGGTCGAGTATTTTAATTGTGATAACGTAAAACGTGTTTTTTAATATTATCACAGATTATGTTTTTACGAAGTTGAAAATTGTATTTTCAAGTTAATAAGTCAAATTTATACCTATGCATGTAGCTCTCTCATCGAAAAGTTTGAGAAAAGCGTATATCTCTAAATTAGTTTGAGCTAGCAAACACGCATATTATCAATAATAAACACTAAATTTAAGTTTAAGAGCTTAAAAGCAGAAGAAAAGTTTGTAATAAACAAAACGAGATGGAAGTTATTCCTATGTCTCATTTTTTTGGAAGATAAGCGAGACAGTGGTTCAATTTGATTGCTGAACACGTGATAGTGCCGCGCTTGACATCTGATTTTTCAATAGAAACTCATTTTACTTATGGGTAAAGATTTATTTATTATTGACAGTTATTTTGAACACTTGTTTAACCCTTTACAGCCTGATGTTGCCATTTGGCAACACTTTTTGCTGTGTTTTCGAAACAGCCGGCTGGAAAGGGTTAATGTTTTATTATTTGGTTTGTGTGATACGACGAATACTGAGAACAAAAGAGCATTTTCGATCATTATGAAAGTAGAGGTGAACAATTTAAATGGAATACAATGAAAAACATTTATGTATTGAAAGTTTTGAAAAGAAATGTTATACTACAGAACATCCATCGAATTAATTGTAGGAAAGTCGATAAGCATACTTATTACAGTAATATTGCAAATATAGGCTCTGTATTTGTATATATGTGATGCTAGGAAAGAGAAAACTGTGATTCCCTTGATTTCAGAACCACGAGAATTCTAACTATTGATTTCCTGTTCTTCTTGCTCTAGGGACATTTCCTATAGGCATCCAGTGGTATTTTGCATACGAAGCGTTGATTGACTATGAAGACTAGTGTAGAAAATTGATCGAACAACTTAGTAAACTAAATTGTATATAGATAAGTGAATATCTTATGGGGTTGTAAATTTGATGTAAATAATAGCAAATCATCATTTCATATGAAAATTGCGAAAACCCTTGACCAAATGTTGTTTTAGCAAATTCAACAATTAAATGTCGACCACGGTGACTTCGTCTATGCTCTTTGCGTTCAGGACGCTAAAGTAGTGATAAAAGACAGTATAGAGTGAAAAGTATTGTATCAATACAACGAAAAAATATGAAATAAACAATTAGTTTTGCTTGTTGTTGCCTTCGATGTGTTACTCTTACGATTGATTCAGTAGTTACTAAACTACCAATACTAAGAACTTCTAGAATTAGAAACGAAAGAACAGTGTACTTTCTCACTATTGTTAACATAACTTATCGTATTGGTTAATCTTTTATGAAAATCGATCTATCAACATTCAGTCCAGTTATAAATGTTTCTAATGTACTATAGTTGCTGATTCGAATCATCTTTTGTTGGATTTTACTTTCCGGATTAACTGAGACAGAATAGGAGTTAACGATAGAATAACAGACATAAGAGGAAAATTCTATAATTTATCGCACGCACCTATCACATGTGCATCATGAACGAAAAAGCCTCATGAACAACCCGATCTAGTAGCATTAGATTTACTCTAATAAGACTTTTTTCATAATTTCTACAATCGGATATGAAATGATTCAAATGTGAAGAAGTATGGCGAAGATATGTTGAAAATTCACTAAAAAAATCACAACTCGCTTTCGTCGATATAAAATCTATCATTCTCTTAATGATGTGCATATGTTATTTGTATTTTGGTCGTGTCATGCATGCATTAATTTGTACCTTCTTCTCCTTACTATTTTAGGTCTTGGTTTTCGTCCACAAATATCGGTTGAAAAAACATTGATTAAATATCGCTCATCGACACGCGACGGTCAATATGGTTGGGGTGAACATAAAAATCAATTAGATACATTTTTATCATATTATACTGAACAAGATTTACAATATCAACAACAAATTGATTGTACAAAATATTCGTTAGATCAATTACCACCTCTGTTTCGTCAAGGAAAATCATGTTGGTTTAATTTATTAGATTTAAATTTTGATAAATCACCGTGTGTATCACAACGAAATTTTGAATATGATCGTGGACATCCGTGTGTTTTAATTAAGTTAAATAAAATTTATGAATGGGTGCCAATTCCCTATGAAAATGTAGCTGAAGTACCAGAACGCTTAAAGTCCATATGGGATGCAAAAATGTCGGAGTATATCCTTGGTATGCTACTTCTTTCTCTCTCTTTTACTATATTCTTTGTATTATTAAAAATGTATTTCTCTAGTTCAATGCGATGGTGAAAATGATGTTGATCGTGATTTCATTTATGAATTGGAATATTATTCACCGTTACAAAATACCAAAATTGGTGGTTTTCCAAGATATTTTTTCCCCTATTTAAATCAAGATGGTTATCGATCACCATTGGTGTTTGTTTACTTTAAAAAAATTGAAACAAATGTATTGATTAATGTTGAATGTCGTGCATATGCTAAAAATATTAATCATGACGATAGTATTGAATATAAACGGGGATCGGTTCATTTTGAATTAATTGTTGAATAAATAGGTATGAGGTATCTTTTTTAACTTGAAGATGACTAATGATCACTTTCGTAATGTATTGTTGTCTTCTAATTGACACACATACTACAGCTACCCAATATATATCTTTACAGAGGTATTACAGTAGTGATGATATGATGGCTGTATATCAGGGCTCCGTATGGTCTGGTCTGGTCCAAAAAATTGGGACCAGACCATAACTTTTTAAGACCCGGGCCGCTTCGTACCGTTTTCGATAACAAAATTTGGGACAAGGACCAATCCGGATCACTTCGGACCATGGAGATTTTTTTCCTCCTTTTTGAAGATCCATTTCTATTGTGTAACGCAAAACTATTTAATTTCAATTTTTATCAAACCTGACAACAAATTGTTTCTTAATTAAATGTTCAAAAAAGTTTATCTAGTCGATAAACAAAAAACTAAAGAGATTTCTAAAAAATTTTCCAACCAAGACCAGTTCGAACATTAAAGGTTTTAAAAACTAGGACCAGGTCGGACCAAATGGATTACAGTACGATCTGACTTGGTCCTGGATCGGACCATACGGTGCCCTGTTATAAATACATCCGTCAGACAATTTTTGTTTTTAGGTTCTATATTTTTTGCTAGTATGATTTCATTAATTAATAAATGGAATACATAGAGAGCAATTGTTATTATTATACTATTTTATTTTCTAGGATTTGTTTTCAATTGACAATTTTGTGTTCAATTGACAATTTTGTTTTCAATTACTATTTTGATCCAGCATTCCGTCGAATAAATGTTCAAAGTTGTACATACTGTTCTTTTTTTTTATGATAAGAGGTTTTTCTTTTTTTTGTTTTGTAGAATCTCGTTTTATCAATCTACCTATCTTGCCGTTATTATTATATTTTGTAATCATTAACTATATTATTTTAGTTGATGACAAGTGCGTTGTTTTTATTTTATCTACGATAAAAATATTCGTATTACTAAAAAAATATTCATACAGAATTTTGAATGATGACATGTTATTCCCTAATATATCTGTCATCTGTTCTATTTAAAAAATATGCTTTTCCTTAGTTATATGTACACACATGAATGCAAATGTTTTCTGTTTCATAGATACTCAATTTTTATATAATCTTAAAGTATTTTTTGTGCAATTTTGATTGAACATTCCAACATTATGTGCACTCTTTTTGACATATCTAGATAGAGTTTTATATTCTTTCGTTTTCATGAATACTACTACATTCCATGTAAAATCATTTCTTTTGTATAATTTCCATTTTATAAAATTTAACTTCTTTAGATCTTTTTGCTTTTTTAAAAATATCTTACTTTAGAATAAACTTTTTGTATATACACCCAATACGATTGATCAATGGGAGAAAGACATGCCCTTACATGCACAAAAAATCGTAGATAAGAGTAAACTAACAACGAAACTACATCTGTTGAATAGTGCGTAAAATTTTATGAATATCCTTTTTTTAGTTATATCAGTTTTCTTAGAAAATTTTCAAAAAAATAATTTCACGATGAACATTACATGAAACGAATCTCTAAAAGTGGATTTATCTGATGACATTTCATACTGGCGCTCAATAAAAGAAATTTTAAGAAAATCTTATTTTGACTACATTCCATGCAAAGAAAACTAGTTAGATATTTGTCTACTAAACGTCAGACAATCAACTCGCTTTTTTGGAATTAGATCTGAAAAATAGTATAAAGATATAGTTATAATAAGGCCTATTCCTTTCTAAGCACACATATGAGCTAAAATACACATGAGAGGAGCTTGTTTCATACTTCAGGATTATTCATCTCTTTTCGTAGTATAGTGCAATATAGACAACCTGCAAACTTTTTTGCCATTGTCCCAAAAGTCAGTCTTATAAACTACATTTTTCTCAGCAAAAAGCCAGCGAACACTGTTTTTTATTATTACTATCTGGAGACTCTAATCAAAATGTATAGGAATGAAATTCTCTTTTGCTTCTGAGCAGATTCTGATCTTTGTCTTGCAGACTCTCATTGAGAATATAGCGAGGGACTGTCCACGAGAGACAGTCACCGTTATGTCGGATTACACAAGTTATGAATGTTTTTTTGTGAAAAAAATTATTAGTTTTGAAGTTTTTATCACATTAGTAGTTTTCAACCACAATGTCGGCTATTACTTACTCTAGCTTGGACCATCAATGGAACAAAATAATCAAATGCCAAAATTCTAGGCAAAAATTAACGAAAAAAGTACAGTCGATATTTATGATTTTCAATTTTGAAATCGTTTGCATCTTTGCAAAGCAGAATACATTAATAACATTCATATTTATTATAATCTAACTGTCTGGTATTGTTAACATTGTCAATTATGCGGTTTGAAAGCTCAAAAAGTATAAGAGTTTTTAGCTTGAAGCGTAGGATATAGCAACTTGATTTACAGGTAAAATCATTGCTATTTTATTGAAAAACTACCATTTTCTCAAAACATGAAAAAAATTAGCCAAGAATTTTTTTTAGCTTTTTTCTTTTTCGTTAACAACATAAAATGTTTTTTCTTTTTGAAAATTCGCAACAAAATTTTTTTTAGTAGTATTAAATATACTTATTATACAAAATGTTATTTTTTCTTGTTGTTGTTAGCTATCGTAAATATTATTATTATTTTACTGTAGTTATCTTCATTCTGTTATCTATATTTATAAGCCATACAGAATGTTGGTTCAGAAAAAGAATACCAACATCACGCTCTGTTAGTGTTACTGGTGCAATAGATCCGAATGTCACTCCAGATCCACAAGTCAAAGATATACAAGATGAAATTCAGAAATTAAAAGAAGGTCGGTGAAGAAAATAGTTCTAAATTTCTGTCTGAGAAGTATTTAATATAAAATGTCCAGACCAGTCATTGTGGTTGACAATATGAAAATCGTAAACAGCACATTGACGTAGTTTTCTCAACGATGTGAAATCAAAGATCAAAGATAAAGAGTGCATAATTTGACTCTTAATCTTAGTTCAGTTTTAAAAATAAAGCTTGAAATTAAGCAGGATAAGCATCTTTTATCCCAAAACGATCGTAGAAATATTTTGAATTCGAACGTTCGACGTCAAATAAAAATCTATGACTGTTTTTACTCTCAATTCACCATTTGCTTCAAATTCACATTTGATGTCGAAACAATATCAGTCCACATATATATTCACTAGTCTTAGAAGAAATAAACTCGATTTTGAGATTTAAGTATAAGTGGGAGTACAAAACATTCTTAACAGATAGTATCGTTTATGCGTGAAAACAAACGTTATTCACAAAAAGTTACTTCGCGTGTTCAAAGTTAAAATAACTCTAATCTTATTTCTATTAGCTGCTTCTATTCAATCGCCGAGCAATAACTTTGGATACGGCGGGTTTGGAATGCCATGTAAGTAAAAAGCTGACGCTTATCATTTTAAGATATAAAAATCAAGTTTTGCTTATTTTTTGTTTAAGCTTGGATGATGTTAACGAGCATAATCCCAAATTTATTTACTACTGGTAAACATCTTTTAAGACTGTTTAGATCACAAGGCGTTGGTCCAAACACAGGAGTTCAACCGCTATCAGGCGACGTATACCCTCCACAAGCAAGTACGTTGTTAGAGAAGATTTGTTGATTCAACGAATATTTTTGTCGTTTTAGACGCAGATGATGAATTATATGGTCCATTACGTGGTTATTATAATCACAACCGTAATAGGGGTGAAAATACGAAAAAAATTCAAAATAAACGATCTGGTTTTAATTCAAAAATCGTTATCGTTTTTTTACTGTTAATATCTGGTGGTTCACTCGTCGCGTTTTATTATCTCAAACGCCACATTAAAACAGCATCACGAAACGATAACGATACAGAAGAAGAGAGTGGTGGTAATCAAGCGAGAACAAGTGTATCAACAATCGATGAATCATCACAGAAGATAGTAATGCCACTGATCCATTCAACAACATCCACTAATCCACTATCACCGATGCTAACAAAAACGCCTGTAAAAATTTCCGTTCAATCATTGGAAGTACATACTCCAAAACCAAAAAAAAACTTTCAACATTTTGTATGGTGAAATACGAATGAAAGACTCACTTTTGTTATGGAAAACATTTTCCAAAAGATACACTGTATCGTAGTGAGAAGAGTCTCTTTCTCTGGTTTCTCACTTTATTTAAAGCATCTTTTCATCTCATTTTCCATTATATTGACCAGTAGTAGTACAGCTTTGTCTACTAAGTATAAAACAAATGATTTGCATTGAGAAAACTATCATTTACTAAAATAAAATAAAAGTTTAGAATAAAAATAATAAACAAATAAAACAAAAAAAATAAATAAAAGTTAGAACTCATCCATCTAGCAAACCTAACAAATAATTTATCCTTTTTTCGTTGAAATAGACTTTATTATAGGTATTTTTTGCTGCTGAACACGAATCTGACACTTGTTTATCCACATAAGTCCTTTTTGCATGGTGACGGTGATGATAGTGAAAGTTTTGGGAATCAGTTTTTTTAGGATTATAAAAATTTCGGGCCTTTAGGTAATGGGAAAGCTAAACTGCTATTCCAGTAAAAAAAATAAGAAAAAAATATCTCGGATTTTGATAATAATTTAAGAGAGCTTTCATCAACATCGAGCACTATAGCTGTCATTCAAAATTAATTGTTGTTCTTAGGTTTCGTGTTTTGAACAAGCACATGAAAAAAACTATAAAATTCAAAATAACTCGAAAATAATACGAATCTTTCATCTTTTTTCGATGTTACAGCATGCAACCCCATAATGTTGGATGTTACCAGCACAATACTAACGTCTTTAGAGGAACTATTATTATACTGAAAATTATCAGTTCGAATAAAATCTTTCATCAGGCGATAAGGATGATTGATTATCTTTCTTTATCATTAAATGCAAGAATATGGATTGCTCTGTACATATGATGATGTGATGTCTGTTTCGCATGGTGGAGCATCTATCCATCAGGGTCTCCTGTCTATTATTCTACATCTACCATAATCACATCATTCGAAAATGTCGATAATCTGTTTAGTATTCATTTTAAATCTGCCAAACGTTGAGAAAGACTGATAACAGGTTCAACAATTCAAAACGTTGAAGAATAGAGAGCAATAAATACTATGCCATTGTTATTCAAATAACAGCACGGTAGTCTATAAATTGAAGAAAAAAAGGTTTGACAAGTGTTTCGAAACATAATTTCTAGTAAAAATAATATCCGCGGCAAATTTATTAAAAAAATGTAACAATGTTACGTTGATAAAAATGAGATGTATCCCGGTAAAAAATGATTTTCTCGGAGAAGAGAATACATGAGACTGTCGAATACAAACTTTCTATACATATTCACACAAAATTCGATTTTTTGACTGGATTAATTATAGGGATCGTTTTTCGTAACAATGTTACAGTTGACTCACGAAAAAGTAAAAGTGATGTATTTTTCCATTTTCGTACAAAAAAATAAGTTAAGAACTTTCTAAGCGAAATTCTGTTGACTACTGAGTGATGTACACAAAGAGAAAAACAAATTATGATTTTTAAATTTTAATTAATTTAGAAATAAGGGTACAGAACAAAACATTTTTTTGGTCGAGTGGGTATTTTTGTCTTTCTTTTTCAACAACAGTAATAAACAAAAATGGGGATGCAGTTTTTAATGATCTTTAGCACAATAGCACCGATGATAATGAGTTTTTTAGGAACTATTGCACCATTTTTTATGCCAACAACACCAATGCCACGTAAATATCACATACGTCTTACCCGACAGTAATCCACGTTTTTCTTTTACACTCTAAAATTTTTACGCTATTTACCCGAATCAGCATCATAATCCCCGACTTTCAAGCTCATATGGATTGCACTCTTTGCTTGCTCGTATAATTAGTCACCGAAGAGTAAGCTGGAATGGATAGAGGTAGTTCTACTTAATAACTGAAAATCTGCCTGGTTTTCTAAGCAAAAAGTACTTACTTTTTTACATTAACTCTAAAAGCATCCTTAGAAATGTATACTGCATCGAACGGAGAAATTCAATTATGTCCATCCAATATTTAATTCGCATTTAGGATCCTGCAACTAGCAAAAGAATATAAATGAAATGAGATACTTTACTGCAGATCCTACTAAACATCTATTCTGTTGAGGCACTTTGATTGGGTATTCTTCAGGAGACTAGTGGTACTTTATATTTCTTGATTTCTTTTTGAACTAGCACCCCCACCGAATCCATTTATTGGCGGTGAGGAAGACGATTATAGGCCACGTCCTCCACCACTGCTCAGTAAGGCCAGTACAAAATCGTCAAATGATGATAATAGTCAAACAATTTTGTTGACATTGATCCTTTGTTGTGCGGTGGGTGTTGTGGGTTTTTTATATTTTAAAAAACGTTTGAGAAAATCAAAATTAAATGTAAGAAACGGTAGAGACAACGGTGACAGTAGGTATGTTAACCATAACCTGGTTAAAAAACTCTATGACCGTGTTTCTCCTACCTACTATCTGTTTCAAAATAGAATGGACTCGACTGTTTTTTAGTTAAAAACTGAACGGAAGAGGATGAAGATCTGCGGTATCCAGTTCCTGAAAGTAGACACTGCGGCATGTCTTTTGGTAAACAAAACAAATTTGGACGGAGTTATGAACTTTTTAATATTAGGTGAAAATAGTCTAAAACGGGTTATTTCACCTATAATCAATTTTCACTAGGTTCTTGAATTTTTTCCAAGAAAGAAACATTGCCACAAGATCCAGCACCTATGTTCCGTCTGATTTTAAGGCTATCAAAGCCGTTAGATTTAAGTCCCGGAACTCCTAGAAAATTCGATGTCACACCTAAACCACTAAAAATCAAAATCTCTCTTGATTCCCATTTTGAAGAGCACACTTTGGGCTATCTATCCAGGTAAAAAAATTATTATATTGATACTTTAATTTAGGGAGAACTCAACTGATTTTCCAAAGACTCTCAAAATCTTACTTTTAAAAAGGCTTTTGTTTTATTTGCCAAAAGATTTGCCCCAGCGTCTACTTTCAGGAATTGAAAACCGCAAATCTTCATTCCTTTCCGTTCAGTTTTTAATTAAAAAGCAGTCGAGTCCATTCTATTTAGTTTATAGTAGTAATCTCTTACAATTCTTTAATATAATTTATTTGCTTATTTTAGTGACGGTAGTAGAATGACGGTCAGATCCAAAAGTAACGTCGAAACACCAATAGAAATGACTCCGCCAACACCTAGTACCCCACCACTACCTCCAATAATATTACAACAAGGAGTGCCAACTCTTCAAATATCAGATGATTTCACTTACGTATGAGTGCACACCAGAGTTCCGTACAGAATGGATGCAAAGGTCTGTCCGTACAGACTGAAGTCGAATCAAAATTGTGACTCTAGAGCTCTCTTGCCCTAGTCATCAGTTCTTATAAAAGAATCAAACACGAAACTTGTAATAGACATGTAAGCATCTTAGAAGCACTAGTTAAGAATCTTATCCAAATCTTATTCAAGTTTTATATAAAATCTTCCATGAAAGTGGCAAGAATTCCGCCGAATCTTATAACATTCCCATAGCGGCTTGTCCAGCTAACGACCTCCATCTTTTGCTTTTTTTCGAAAAATTATTGTACTAAAGCTACAAACTAATCTAAACTGGCAACTACATGATTAAGTACATTAAACATTTCTCTATAAAATGGAAAGCGTCTCGGCTCTGAACGTTGATTCTTTATGACAATACAGCTGTTGTATAAACAGCCCCAAAAATTGATTTTTGGACTATCCGAAAAGCGTGTCTAAAACAGTGAAGACGAACTGATAAACATTGAACAAGTATACCAGTTTGTAGAAAATTGTTCGAAACAGTCGAAAATCGCGAAAAAATAGCGCTAATTTTGAGAATTATAAATATCTCTAAGAAATACTGATAATTCAAGCTAAATATCCCCTGACAAATAAAGCATTGATCTTTAGATCAGTT